CCCCCCCCCCCAAGAAACAATTAGCTTTGATTGGCATTTCAAAAAATTTTTGCAACAAATATGGGATACAATCTGGATGGCCACCTGTATATTTGATGTGAAGTATTTAGATATCTTTTTTTGGGACACATTTTAAGTTTATTTTGATAGCAATGACTTTTGTAAGGATTGGTATACTATATCATTCCTTATGACTTGCACATTGTCTGTCACTAATACTTGACCTTGCTGTATTATCACCTAAATAACTGATACCGGTACCAATGGAAGTCGCTAATGGATAATCATAACACTTTTGGTCACATGTCCTTTCGTCTTTCCTGCAGCCTTGAAGGTTTTAAGAAATCTCAAACGCCCGCTGCTGCTGCCCTTTTAATTGCTATCTTTTGAAAAGCACCAGTATGTGTTTGGATTGATTTCCCCTTTTAAGGGAAATGACAGCCAGCAGTTACAAATCTAATGGTATAAGCAAGACAAATAAAACATGTTTATAAAAATTGTATCCTGGAACACTAGTTTTCAGTGACTGATGTAAACTTAATACATTGGGGTTGGACATTTCATAAGCTTTTTTTTCTGATAAAACTTACAGGTTTATGTAAGCCTTCTTGCTACTACATTTTTCCAATAGTTCTGGTTCTCTCATTTAATACACATTAATTGGGTTACTTGGGACTTTTTGTCTTATCTGTGGCAACATTTCTGTTCATCAAGGCAACATCATTTGGAAGACTTAGCAGAGGACTGGGAGTTTGAAAATCCTAAATGGTATTCCAGTTTTACTGCAAAATGTAGATGCATTCTTGGGGAAGTCACTAATCTCTGTGCCTGTTTCCCTATTTGAAATGGGGAGAATACATAAATATCTACCTCTGTAGAGGAGGTGTTACTACTGATACATTCTGTAGCACATTGAAGTTGTAGAGTGCCATGTTAAATATTGTTCATCAAGTAATCAGTTTATGTTGGAAGAAGGGGTCAGAATAAGAAGCAACCACAAATTTAAGAGGGGTTGTTTAATTATGTAGTGTAGTGGTATGGAATTTCCTGTATCAAACTGAAAGTCTTGCTTTCACTCAATGTGGCTTATACTTGTATCATGACTGAACTGCCAGAACCCATTTTCCATCATACTTCAGTTTATTGTGAGATGTGGTCCCAAGCTTATTTGTATGAGAATTTTACCTTGCTGTGACCCATGTATGAAGGGCATAAATTAATTACATCATAGTGTTATTGCAAGAAACCGGAAGTTTGTGGGAACAGGAAACATCTATCACCTTGCTAAAGCACTAGTACTTGGGACAGCAGTTTTGGTCAAAGGCCTAGAACCTGGTAATTTTCCGTAGTAATTTAATGGTATAAACTGCAGTCTAGTGACAAGTCACTATTCTATGATTTATATAGCAAAATGCTACCAGGGTAGCTCCAGTTGTCTGTTGTCTTTTTTAAAAGTTGAAGAACAACTAAAAGAGCATTTCTTGATGTTGAATAGATCTAGGAAAATGGGGTGGATTTGTGATTTTTTTTTTTTCTCCTTTGCATCTATTTTATAAATATTTGTTAGGCAGTTAGCTCTTTCCCTTTTTTTCTATTGCATACCAATTGACTCTTTAATAGCTAAGTAGTTTCACACTAACTTTGCAGCATAGTGAATTGAAAACCAATGAATGGATCAAAATATTCCACTTGGAAAATTGAGTTCATTTCTTTTCAAAACAACTTTAATGTACTGATAAAATATGGGTAGTTGTGAGGCTTCTTACTTGAGGTGTTATCTTGTGAGCTTTTTATGTATCAAATGACCTCTTAGGTAGTGTAGCCCTGCTACTGGATGCTACTGCATGATATAAACTGCTACAATCATGTCCAGGACTAAAGCAAGCATGTAGGGGACACAGGCTGGCCATTAATTTTAAGAGATGTGGGGTAAACCCTTTGAAAATTTGCCTTCATCTAAATTGGGCTTAGAACCAGTAACTGGTCTTGTACTCTGCACAGCAGAAGAACAGGATACATACTGGCATGGCTGACAGAACTCTCCTGCCTTAGTACAGGAAGGGCAGCTGGAACTCATGTTTGCTACACAGCGCAAACATGAGATCAAATTCAGATTAGACGTGCATGAGAATTTTAGAACCCTTTCAGCATTTGGAGCCTTTGCAGTTAGTTCTTAATGTGACTCCACAGCTAAATCTCTGATCAGATTAGAAGCATATCCAATGTTTTCTTTTTCCCCAAGGGACACTGGGAACAACATCACAATAGATGGTAGCTTGCTGAGAATGTGTGGACAGTCCGGCCCTTGGATGTCTTATGGGATGCCAAGTGGGAGGCATCAAGGGCATGGATTTTTTTTCCTCTCCACCTCAATATCATGATTGCAGAATGCCTTAGCTGCTGCTCAGTTCTGATGATGAGACAGCAGGTGAATATCACATTACTACATCTCTGTTTTGATTGCATTGGAAAATCTGATTACTTTGCCTGTGAAGCAGTGCCAATAAGGAATGTATTTCTACCAGTAGTGCTACCACCGAGTTAAATGGAGGAGCTGTTCCTATCTCATTTAGGATTAAACATGTCTTTGAGGCCTTACTCAACCCCAGATGTTATTTTCCTGCTGGACATGATTAACATGATAAAAACAGTCTGTAGCACGTCACCCAGGCTTTTAGATTTCCTGGCTGGACCCACTGCCTGATCTTAATGCTTGATTCAGCGAGTCCAGATCCTTCCTAGTCAGCCACAGCCTTTTGTATCTCCTTAATCAGGGGTTCTCAAACTTAGCGATACTGTGACCCTGAATGCTGGATGGCAGCAATGGGAGATGAGGAGCTCACACGTGGCAGCCATCACAGTGCACTGCTTCCCTGAGCCACCATGCATGCCCCATGGAAAGTTTGCAGCCCTCTTAAGTTGCTCGCAACCCCCTGGGAGGTCACAACCCACAGTTTGAGAAACCCTGACTTAAATGATTAAAACAACCATTCTTCCATGCTGGAAACTGAAAGTGTAATACGTATTAGTAGCTGAAGACTAACAAATTCCTGATGGATGTTACTATAGTGGACCAGAGTGGATGCATCTACATGTGCTGCTACGTCACTGCAGCGATGAACTACAATGATGTAGCTTGTCACTAAGATGACGTGTTGGTAGGCACTAACTGTGATGCTGCTGCTACTGTGCAATAGCAACGAGCTACTGTTCTTCACTTGTTAACTATTCTTCACTGCAGCTGTGCTGCTTTTTCATTGGGAAACTACACCATGGTTCATGGTTATATTCAGTTAAATAAAACAACCATGTTCCATCGTAGCCTCTTGAATTAAATATTTTGAGAGCTCTGGACAAATTTCTAGCAGCCTTAGAGGGGCAGAGGGAACTGCTGCCAGGGGTCTGTAGCAGTTGTTATACTGTAACTTACCTGTGCAGGAACCTGTAGCCCTACAAGCTGCCTGTCACTTTGGAAGCAAAAATGACACCATCTTAAACCTTATTTCTGTTGTATCTACAGGCTTATGCTCACATAACATCCACTGTGTACTCTCAATCCCTGACCCCCTTTTCAAGCTGCTACAAATGTAGCTTCCTCCACACTCAAATGCAAGGTTTGTTAATGAGGAGGAATTCATTTTTTAAATGGCTTTCCTAGGAAAGGAGATGCAACTAGTTGTATGCATCCTGGTTCTTGAAGCACTTCATAGATAAGGCAATTAAAAATCCTATTTTTGGGGGACTAGTGGGCGTAGCAGAAACTGATTTCCTTACATGAAGTTTTCCTCAAGAATCTAGGTTCATACATCCAACCCAACCTGTATTGGTTTGAATGTAAATTGGGTGTGACCAGTTTAGTGTTAGTTGCTTTTCTTTTCTTTTCTTTTTTTTTTTATTTATTTTTTTAAAGCATCGTTTAACTTTAGACGGTAACTGCCTGGCTGGAAGTTTTAAAATGGAGTAGGGTTTCTAGATGGATATAATGAGCCCAGCTCCACCACTGTGGCCAGTTTCTACAGTATAAGCTGGAAGAAGGGATGAATTTTATTTTGTGAGAATTTACTAGTTTGATCCCACTGGACTATCACCAGATTGTAATGAACTTGTCTTGAAAATTAATCGCCAAATTAACAAGAAACTTAAAAGTTTCTCGAGATGTGCAGAAACTTGAATGTAAAAGAAACTTAAGATTGTAAAGATACTAACTTGCAGTGAGTGTATAAAACAAACTTTCAGGGTTGAGGTTCAGTTTACTGAACAGCCTAAGATACCTACATTTACATCTTTATAATTCTTCAGCTCTGTTAAAAGGAATGTGCTTTATGTCCTTCCCTTCTATGTACACCTCTCCCATACATTGTAAAGGACTGTCTTATTTTTCTGCAATCTGTTGGTTTTGTCTCAGTAATTCAGTTCATCTGCTCACAGAACTCTCTAGGCTTTCTATTAGCAGCTTTTACTACAGTCCTTTATCTAAGGATCATGTTATGTTACAATCCAAGTATTTGGGGCTAAAATACCTAACATTGCTCGTGGAATTTGGATTTAAATAAATCCTTTCCTGTGGAATGATATTAGCATGGTTGTAAATTGCATCATTATTCAAGAAATTTAGATTTCTTGGAAATATTGAAAGCCAGGAATGAGTTAAATACAGACAAAAGTTGGTATTACAGGTTTGAATTTGACATCAAGATTTGCTAAAATAACAGGATTTAGAATATGCCAGTGCTTGTTGCAGTCTGTTCCTAGAACTGGTAACCTGAGAGTTCAATTTGATAAATTCTTTTCCTATTATGGCTTCAGTAATGTTTCATTTAAAATTTTTGCATAAAAAAACTTGACAGCTAGGATGTTATTAAACAACAGAGCTTAAATAATATAAGTTTAGTTTTACTGAGAAGACTGCCAGTGTCTTTTGCAATTTCATAATTCAATAACCTACCCAGT